TTATTATTATTATTATTATTATTATTATTATTATTATTATTATTATTATTATTATTATTATGAAGTCACTTCTGAGGCTTCAGTGTGATTCTTAATATGGTTTCAATGATTGTATATGCTGAATTACTTAAGTAATATACAAGATTGAAGATTGAGCAGAGTTGTTTACACATGACCAGGAAGGTGACCAAAGTTTGTCTCAACTAACTGGAGCTGACCCTTCTTGAGAATCCACCGGTTATGCAGCTGCTCAAGAATATGCCAACATTTCATGGAACCCAGAGGTTCATTATTGAGCTCACAAGAGCCCTCCACTGGTCTCTATCCTGAGCCAGATCAATCCAATTCATACCACTCCATCCTATCTCTCTAAGATCCATTTTAATATTATTCACCTACCTACATCTTGGTCTTCATAATGGTCTCTTTTTTTCTCACTTTCCCCTCAATATCCTAATATGTAGTGAACAGTACAAGTTATGAAGCTCCTCCTCATTTTGCAGTTTTCTCCAACCATATGTCACTTTATCCGTCTTTGGTCCAAGTATTCTCCTTCGCACCCTTTTTCCAGACACCCTTGGTATGTTTCTTCCTTAATGTCAGAGGCCAAATTTCACACATATACAGAACCACAGGCAAAATTGTAGTTTTGTATATTCTAATTCTTACCATTTTAGACAGCGGATGAGAAGACAAATGGTTTTGCAGTGAATGTTAGTAAGCATTACCTGAATTCAGTATCCTTTTAATTTCCTCCTGAATCAACCTTTGATTTATTACTGGTGTTCCCACATACGTGGTGTGTCCAAGATCTGTTAGGACTCATTTTTTTTTTAATTTTGCCCTGTAATGCCATCTGTTGGTGAGTTGTGGCATTAAGATTCTTAAAATTTCAGCTGTGGCTGTCTATAATTTCAAAGAGCAAACATCGCTGCATCATGTGTTCTGACCTTGAATGTAACAGTGCTGTTCTGATGCTCATCGGAAAATGGCAGTTGAACAGAGAGCCAACATCAAATTTTGTTTGAAGTTAGGCAAAACAGCCAGAGAAGTGTACAAAATGGTGAAAAGTGTGTATGGTAGTGATTGTTTGAGTTGTTTGAACATTTTTCAATTCAGACATGTGTTTCTGCAAGACTCATCAAGAAGCTTTTGGGAATACCAAAAAGTGCTCGGTATCAAATTTTGACCAAGGATTTGGGCAACTGGAAGGTCTGTGCATGGTCAGTACCGCACGCACTGTCAGGCGATGAAAAACATGCCAGAGTGGAACACTGCAAAGCCATGTTATGGTCGGGGCAAAGTGATACAAAATTTACAAAATTGATTGTTATTGGTGACGAGACATGATGTTTTCAATATGAGCCTCTCACAATGTGGCAGAGTGCAGCGTGGTTGAGCCCAAAGAAGCCGAAACCAAAGAAAGTGCGCATGCAAAAGAGTTGAGTAAAGACACTGCTAACCATTTTCTTTGATTCCAAAGGAATTTGTGCCAGAAGGTCAAACAGTGAATTCTGATTATTTCAGAATACTCAATCGTTTGTGGGTGAGAATTCTTCGAATTTGACCTGAATATTGAGAGCAAGGTTCCTGGTCGCTCCTCCACGACAATGCCCCACCCCACAAATCGAAGATTGTGTGCAATTTTTTGGCCAGAAAAGGGATCACAGTCCTTGATCATCCTCCATATTCGCCAGATTTGGCCCCAGCGTCTTAAATTTTCCAAAGCTGCAAACCTGTTTGAGATTTCAACCCAATACTGCTCTTTACCGTGTACTTTGTTTAACTTCTCTCCATATGAAATCTGTGTGTTGTTTACTCACTGCCAGTTGCTCCCTAACTTTTGCCACCACCAGATAGTGGCCAGTATCACAGTCTGCTCCCCTGAATGATCAGATATCAAATACACTTGAATCAGTTCTAGCTTAGAACAAATATGGTACACTATTTTGGAAACAGACTTGTTGTAATGATTTTTAGAAGTCTTAACAAATCAGTGTACATCTTAGTTAAGAGATGTAATATTTACATCTATGACATGGTAATAGTAGTTTCCATATATGTTGATAATATTCTTCTGAAGATGGTCGTTTTGTCTGAAACATGTAAAGGATGAAAAATTAAAAACAACTTTTATCAATCACACTTGTCAGCGGTTAGAAATCTTATATACAGTTACTGCTGTGATGAACCAGGATGTACCAACCAACTCACCATGACGTGGTGACAGGGACCCACTGTTGGAAAACCTGTCTTACACAAAACAGAAGTGTTTGACTCAAAGGAGGTGGTTTCTATGACAGAATAACCACTAAAAAATGTGGCGACTAGAAGGAAATGACCATCCTGCTTGGGCAAGCCGCAATATTAAATATGCTCCACCTGTTCTCATGCCTGAGACTCTGTAACTTTGTCTCCTAGTGGTAGGTAGGACACTGAGTGAGCATAACATATCGCTTTAGCACATTAACCTTTAAATGCTGAAGTGCCCCGTTTGTGCCAGTCATGAGTAAGGTCGTCGTAGCCAAAGTACCCCGTTTTGGCCAGCCGGGCATTTAAACTCCGCTAGTGGAAGTGTGCGCACACGCCACTAGTAGAAGCGCATGCACAGTTCTAAATATTTATTTTTAAATGTAGTAATCACCAGACAGACTTGAGTAAACCCCTAATAGAGTAATTAAAATAATACCTAACTGAACAACAGCAAATAAATATATACCTATGAGTTATGCCAAAACGTATCCACGATCCAGTAATTTTATTGCAGATTCTGCAGATAGGTATGTTAAAAATATATTGTAAAATTCGATGTACATACCTTTTTTGTTGTTACCTGCTTGATGTGTATATAGGTTCAAATGAAACTACAGTATTCGATTTCACTACGAACGCACGCGAAACCGATCGCGCTCTGTATCTCAGCTACGATGCAGCTGTCTGTTCATTCAAATAGAAGGGGCAATGAGCTTTTGCAGCTCTAACGGAAGGTCTTAGCACTGAAGAAGGGACCCCTCTAGCTTTCTCTTGAATAGCCATTCTTTCATTTTTCTGACCTTCAGTCAAAGATTCGAAAATCCGAAGGGTGTAAACAGTGCTAGCAGAAGACCAAATGATTTTATTGCTTCCATCTGTTTTATGACACCAGGGACTGCTAAAATTTGCAAGTGTTACAAACAGAAATGAATTTATAATGCAGAACAACTCTGTGAAGAACTGGGAAACCATTTTTGC